TAATAAGTTTGGATGGTGTAAATGGAAAATTCAATAGTATTGAGAGGATGTTTGCATGGAGGGCATAAACTATGACGAATAATATTAATAATATTGATGATAATAATAATATTAGTAATAATAAGCAAAGAAAGAAAAGAAACCAAGAGGGTCAAGGGGAAGAAGCACTCTTGGTGAGAAGAAGAATCATCAATCCAAGTTTGGCCACGGTAGGAACAGTGTCTGGACGTGTTGTTTTTGGATACAAAGTTCCGGTTTAGTCGATCTTATTGCAACAGCTTCAGCTATGTGTAGAAGACGTAAGCGAACTGTACGTGATAACGACTTCGGAATTCGGTATATAACCCTGAAAGCTGTGTTGACATCGACATGGTGTCCAGTATCGACCAAGTGTGACAGGATCGAGCTTTTTATGCACTTAATTTCCCCCTGCTGTAACAAGCTGGTAAATGTTCTCGAACCATTGTCTCCCATTTTATAATATTTTGTAGTCGACCTCAGCCTGGAATGTTTGTCACAAAGATACTGCTATTTATTTTGACACCCCATAACTAATCTGTTATTCTACGTTAAAAATGTATCCACCGCATAACTGGCTGTCATTATTGTAACGACAACAAATATATCATATTTTATAATTGTAAGAACCTGAAGAGGAGAAATTATTGAAAAGAATATTCTTCGTTCAGATTGACTTTTAATCTATAGTAATTCTCTAAGTAAATGACCATTCTGAAAGTTGGAATAATTTTCACGAAGATTTGAAGAGTAATCAATCGTTTCCTTCTTTTGCAGAAAACATATCTTATAAAAAGGATAGAGAAACTCTACTATATCAGATAACTGTGAACAATCCTTTCAATGTTACGGTTGTGTGTTTATGCATGCAGTGCGATTGCTGAGCTTTTTTCTAAATTATTTTTCTTCTCAGGGTCAACCATTCTTGCCTATGCTAAATTCTTATGTTCCGACAATCTGACTAGGTGGAGAGAGAGGTTGATTACTGAATCCTTGTTCACCGAGTATACACCCAGTACATGCAGTAGGAATGATTCATCACTCATACCGGAAATATGGAGAATACTACGACCAATCAAGTCAAGCGATGAAAAATAATGGAATTATATAAACGAAGTTAGAAAGTTGTGTGAGTAGTACCTTAATATGATTATGAGCAGTAATAAATTGCGCTCGAAACGTGGTCATCAGTAAACATTACTGTATAACACTGTGAGACTTTATCAAAACAAATTTTACCCATAATAGATTTATACTCTACCACAGTGCACAAGTTTTATTCTAATATTAAGGTGTGTTTCTCGTCGGATTTCCAAACTTTATCCTGCGTGGTTAAGTAAAAGACAGTCAAAATCCATTATAGCTGTATTCTATCTCATCTTGTGGATACAGAACACAAGACTGATGTTAACGAGGCAGCTTTCAAAGTCATTTACCGCATACTAACTAATCTTAACTTCACCTTAAGAGTTCGTCTACTACATATTGCTAAGACTGGCCGTTGGGATCCACATTAAGAAGCCTAATTTATGTGTCTAAAAGAAGCTGGTTCAGACACTGTCCTTACGTTGACCATCTAGGTTCTAATGATCCTCACTGTGTTGCAGAAATTTCCTTAATTTTATTTGATATTCTGTTTGCTATTACATTTTTATTACTATTATTATTTATGCATCCTTAGTGAACTGTAATTCCAGTGATCTTACTTAACAAATCGATATTATTTAAAAACACTAATATTGACTATTGTTCTAGAATATTCTATGTATATATATATATATATATGTATATATATATATATATATATATATATATATATATAATTGTAGAGCCAGAAGAGGAAATTATCGAAAAGGATATTCTTTGCTCAATTATATTGTTTTTTTCTAGATATCTGAATGAATATTTTCGCTACATCTCCATTCCATCATTTTGAAGTTGATCCGCGACTCTGAATAGTAAATTACGACATCCTTTCCACATGATCTTCTTCATGTCACCCACAAAGTGACACACAACCCAACACTTTCCAACCTAATGTTGACACAAAACCCCACCTGGCTAACTAGTCTTTCTGAAGGCCAGAAAAGAGGAAAGATTATGCGGAGGGCGAGGCTGTTTACTCCACTCCATGGAAAGAATAACCTGCCGTTTCGTTCATTTGAAGTGAGCTTGATGTGCCAAGTTTCACTCAGCTTAGACGGTTGAATCAGTTAAAACTATCCGATTTCTGGCTACAACTGCTTAGGTGAACTATTAATATATCGTCAGCACAGTTTTCTTTGGGAATCGAACGAATCCCCGGATCACAATATATAATCTCTTTGATACCATTCAATCAATAAGCGCGCGTAATTTTCAAATTGCTAATATATGAATCACCCTCATTGTTTAAAACTTAATGAGATGTTCTACCTATCTGCTTATACCTCAGAAAGTGTGACTCAGCTCATATCACTGACAGTTGTTTCCTTTACTTTTGGAAAATATGATGCTTTGAGTGCATTGGCGGTACCGTTGAATGAAAAGAATTAAAATTTATGGAGTAAACTATAATCACCCGAGTAGGAAACGGTGAGTTGGGCATCCGAGAGTGACATGGAGGAGATGACAACTTATGACCGATCGTGGAGGCAGCTTAAAATGAAATCAGAAAACTGTATGAAATGAAGAGATGATGCCTAAACCCTTTGTTTCAATCGGGACTTAAGGAAATATTAATATAACAATAACAGCAACAGTCATTCCTCTAGTTTCAAGTGAACAAACGGCCTCAACGCACACCTCCACTAAAATCCAACGTTTGTCATCGATTAGGAGTTCGGCAAGTAGAAGACAAAAATTATCGCCAGTGAAACTTCACACCATAGAAATATGAACTTATTCTCCCCCCGGATTCAGCGAAAGGCATCAATTTCGAATATGAATCACGCTGGTGGTGGGTGGAAGCCTTAAGGAAGACAGTTTCGTGATATGTCGTCTTCATTTCGATGACAGCATGAGGGCATGGCATGTCCCAACAGAAAGACTGTCACTGAGCAGACTCTTCAGACTGAGCTAGAAATAAGAAAATACACTACAGTAATGTTAAGAGTCGATGACAGCATACACAATGGAAGTAGACTCTCCAACTTATTAACTGGTAAATCAATAATCCTCTACTCCAGTCAACTAAACGATGAGCATCAGCCCAGTGAGGGACTGGGGTTGGTACGAGATAGTAAAAACTGTCCGCATTAACAGTTTGTCTTCTCTTCTGGTGTCGCGTTTTCTGCGTCTACCTTAAGGATAACCAAATATATACACAACATTTCATATAAACAAAATATTTCCGTGATCCACGGGGTCCATCAAGTTGGGAGTGAGAATAAATACGCACTGACGACATTGGGGATGCCGGTTGCGCTTTACATATCGCGAAATGGTGAAATTTAGAATTGACAGACCCTTGGATTACCTCCCAGCGGATGAATGGTCAACGAATTCACCTTCTAACATGAAGATCCTGCTATCCCATCCCTTTTGAGTAGGATCATGGGTGTGTGCTGCCAAAGACTCTCAAACAAAGACGGAACAGTGTTCTCTAACTGAAGTTAACTAGCGATAGAAAATGAATTAAATAGGCTATGTGTGGGTGGTCCCATAGTGGAATGATAATCGGTTCGAGTCCCATTCCGAGCAGACGCATCCCCGCAATCTCACCTTGTTTACTCACCGTAGTAAGCCGGAGAAAAAAAACAGTCTACCAACCCATGTCTGTCTGTTTTCGACATAGAACTTTGCACCGATGTGCGGTAGTTTAAGCCGCCACACTCCATATAGCACACAAAGCAAGCGAATAAAGTAGGAGAAATGCATAATATAGACAGTAAACAGAGGTGTGAGACAAAGGAATAGTAATGATGAAGAACAATACAGTTTTATCGGGTATTATCATTCACAAGGAGTGGATGCATCTGCGCCAGTCATTGAGAACGATTTTGATCCATATCACCATTTGTTTCCAACCATTGGTTTTTACCGTCCCGAGGACTCCAACCAGGAAGTCTACACCTTACTACGTGGCTGGCTTTAACTAACTGTTGTAGATTTCATTGACTGATGAAGCCATGTTTTGGTCTGACCAGCAATTGCTAGTTCTTTTCCAACCTGACCCTATGTCAGCTAACATTGCCCATTGTCGAGGTAGGCGATTACTAGGCATACGTAACACATGTCCTAACCATCTCAGTCGATGTAACTTCACAACCTCGTCTGTTGATTTCCTCTCCTTACTTAGTACTCGACGCCTAATCTCAATATTGCTCACCTTATTATACCACTTCACACGGGAGATAGAACGCAGGCACCTATGATCAAAGACAGCTTATCTTTTCATGTCTTCCACTCTCAATGGCCAGGTCTCACTCACAGCCATAAAGGAGGACGGAGCGGAGTGTTGAGCAGTACACACACCCTTTGGTCGATAGCCGGATATCACGTCTACTCCAGAGGCGGCGTAAACTGGCATATGCGAAACTAGCCTTCTGTATCCGTGCTGAGATTTCGTCAGAGATCAACCTGTTGGGACCGGCTGATGGTACTTCCCAAATAAGTGAAGCGGTCAACGTGCTCCAACAACCACTTCACTCCCTATTTCTAAACTAAGAGTCAGTGTAGTCCAGTCCTGTAACATCATCTTACATTTGGCGAGAGCGAATCGCATGCCAAACATTCGTAGATTGCAGCTCCTCAAAGGTATTCAGAAGACTGCATATTCTAAGTCAACGAGATTATTCCCTGATAGTAACAAGTCAATCCCAGAGTCTCTAAAGTAACCCAGGGTTAAGTCCATTAGTACATCTATGATGAAATTGTATAGAAATGAGGATAAAGGGCATCCCTGACGGACACCACTCAGGACACTAGTCGTCACCACTTCAGATGACAACTCACCATAAGCCTTCACCTGGCTGGCTGCATGAGTTCGAGTAGAGTGAGTGCCTTGATCAGTGAATTTTAAGAAAATAGGCTTGAAACCACCACCAAAGTTCCACTGGGGAATACATACAGTGAGTTGAAAAGAAAAAAAACACAACAGAAATGCATCAATACAAATTGTACTATCATTATTATTATTATTATTACTATTACTCCATTTTTTTTCTTAATAATGAATTGTGTGTTCACACAACAACACAGATTGTCCATACATATATATCTTCTTGATCATATCAAAAATCTTTGAGATGTTGACCTATTCACCTCCACATACTCAAAAACTTGTACATAAATAACGAAGTGAGTGTGTGTGTGTATGTGTGCACCACCTGATTATACAACATATGTAATAATATATTTATATATATATACACATACATACACACGCATGCAAAAACAAGCACACACGCACTTGCATATAGTAATATGAATAGTAGTCTGTTCAGGCATAGAGATAAGATAGAAGATTAAGGCCCCCCCCCCATAATAAACACTCCTACACGAAGGCACACAAGCACAGAAGCAAATACACATACACGCACGCACGCACATACACAGACAAACCTAATCATTCTCCCACTATGAAACATATAATGGATTAAAGAGTAATAATGAAAGCATCAAGTTAGATTTCTTTTGTAAAAATTAACAAAAGGCGAAGTGTAGTGTAGAGAGTAGTAGTCGGAGCAGTAAGCAAGCGCAGAGCAGTAATGATTTAAGCAAGTACACATTGGTGACAGTCAGTCATAAACAGTGAACCCGAACCTTATCCCGACGATGATGTTGTTACTAGCTGTACGACAGTAGTACTAGTGTAGTAATAGTCGTGCTGAAAGGCAACATGTGAGTGATTATATGTCTCTGAGTGTGTGTTTGTGTGTACGCTGATAATTATATAAGGCAACTTCAGTTATCCTTAGTTGTGTTAGCATTACTATTACCATTTTGAGAAGACCGATGATTCGTTGTGGAACTGCTATTCGACGGACCTGTGGTCGCGTTGTGTATTTTATTATTATTATTATCACAATAATAGTTATTATCTGTTGATGCAGAGTCACTCATCATTTTCTTATCATTTGAAGATGTAGTATCTCCAGTGAGTAAGTCGATCAAGTGTTGAAGAGGAACCAATTCACGCTTTTGAACTAAATTGAATTCCTTGGTAAATAAGCGAATTAAATAAATAAATAAAAACATAGAATGAGTGCCTTTTATCAAAATAAAATCTTATCTATAATAGAATATAAATCACTAAAATTATAATTAATAATAGAATTTTAGTATATGATATAAAAAAGGCAACCGGAAGGTCGTGGGTTCGAGCCCCACAGTGTGGGTGCGTACTACCGATGATTGCCAAACTAGGGGGATGAAACAGCTGTCCAGTACTTCCTGGTGCTGGTTTTCAATGGTTCTCTGTAACTGATATTAATCCGTGGTAAAACTCGTAAAAACAAATCTAATCCTTACAAACCAAAACTATAGAAAATTAATCTGATGCTCGCTAGTGACTTGTTACAAGAGGGAGTTTCCTGAAGTTCTAGTGAGAAGTTGTGACCAGTGAAGTGTATCCAGTCAAGTGTGAGGATGGATGTCCCGCCGATGACATTGGTTCGTGGTCACGCTAAAAATCACGAATTGGTAGAAGTTACACTGAGTCGGGTCCCAGTGGTTGGATGACATAAGCGCACACACCGCTCAAGAGTAGCCAACTAGGATGAACACACAGATAACTAGTACTCTCTGAAGGGGTTTTTAATGGTTCATAAACTCATATCAACCCATGATCAGACTTGACATCGATCAAATTAACTCAGTCTCATGCTCACGGATGACTGGTCACATGACGAATTTGCCTGGATTTCTAATGACGAGAAGTCGGAAGCAGTGCGGACCACTATTTAGGGTGTGAGTCGAAATACCCAGTAATGACATTGAAAGGTATTTGAGTTTAAATCGCTAATTGATAGATCACAGTCATCCGCGTCCCAGTGGCTAAATAGTCAATGAGCTCGCCTCATTACCTGAAGGTACTGGGTTCGACCCCCAGTAGATGGAAACATGGGCACGTGCTTCTGAGGAGACCCAAACAGGGACGAAGCAGCGCTCAAGAACTACTCCCTCCTGGTTCTCAATGTTCCTCCGACCGATATCAGTACAAAATCAAACAGGGAATGACCACATTTATTTATTTAGAGATGCATGTGTGCCACAACATTCATGCTGAGAAACACATCATTTCTGGTAAAACAGAAAATATTAAAAGAACATAAATTAGTAGTGTACACTTACCAATACAAAAAATATAAAATGTTTAAAACTTGTATTTAAATGAGCTTCTTCTTGTAGATCACGAACTTCAGAGAAATGCTGATAATAAATATGTGCATAAACACGAAATAACCGCTTCAGAATAACCTTGACAACATTTAAAAAATCACGAGGAAATGGTGCACCTATTTAGAAAGAAAATTAAACAAATAAAAAAAACAGAGAATTTTATTACTTCAACGTAATACTGAGCAGTATTTGCATTAAACGATCTGGTAAGCCAAAGGTTGATAGCAGCGACGCACTGATTTCCTCTATCAGGTAAGTCGTATTCACAACCTTCACGTGGCAGGGATGTTCCTGGCAAAAGGGAAAGGGTGAATACGAACAACTGGCATTTAAAAACCGAAGAGAGTCATAAAACCCTGATTCTCAACACCTCTGGTGTACATAGACCACAGAATTTCAACTCTGAACCTCTTTTGGTCGGTCATCAAGGAACCAAAGGAATGCGGTTCCTAACTGACACTACTCCACTGCCTTATGAACCAGACTTTAAAGTGAAGTCAGGTTTTAATTTGACCAAATACCACTCAGTCCCTTCCAATCTACTCTAATTTCAGTGAACATTGCTCTTGTTGTATCTTCTCTCTTTACCTAACACTACTCTTTCTACGCTTAACCCCAGTATCCCTAATCTTTATTAAACGACTTAGCATGAGACACAGAAATATACATATGTATAATAGAAATGTGATATTATGACTTTGTTATCAACACAGCTTTACTTCAATGGATCACTTGTGTATGTACTTTTGTGAACCTTCTGTGAAATGTGTGGATACACTCTGTGTAAAGCTCTGCGTCAACAATTCAGTCACAGTCTCGTTAATTCGCTGTATGCACATGATGTTGTCCTTCTCATTGAAGATGTTAACAAAATGCAGAGTCTTCTGAACACTTTAAGCAGAAATCTTGGCATATTTGATGACATGCGATTCACTTCTGTCAGACATAGGATGATGATGCTAGCAGACTGATCGGAATCAACTCCTAGTAGAAAGAGAGAGAGAGTGATGTGATGATTGAGCGTAATGATGGCTTCACTTATTTGGGAGGCTGCATCAGCCCTAACAGACTGATTGCTGACGAGATCTCAGCACGGATTTAAAAGGCTATCGATCAAGAGATGTGTGGACTGAGCAGCAGACCACTCTGTCCTCTATTATGGCTGTGGAACATGGTCATTAAAAGTGGACGATAAGATCGGTCGGTCGGTTTTTGACATAGAACTTTGCACAGATGTGCGGCAGTTCAAGTCGCCACACTCCCTTCATGTAGCACACAAAACAAGAGAAGAAAGTAGGAGAAATGCATATTAGAGACAGTAAACAGAGGTGTGAGACAAAGGAATCGGAATAACGAAGAACAAAACAGTTTAATTGAAAATCATAAGTCACAAGGAATGGATGCATCTGCACCACTGAGAACGATTTTGAGCCATATAACCAATTGTTTCCAACCATTGGTTTTTACTGTCCCGAGGACCCCAACCACCCAAGAAGTCTACACCTACCTACGTGGATGGCTTAAACTAACTGTTGTAGATTTCATTGACTGGTGCCATGTTTTGGTTTGACCGCCGGTAGCTCTTTTCCAACCTGACCTTATATCAGCTAACGTAACCCGTAGTCGAGGAAGGCGATGACTAGGCATACGTAACACATGTCCTAACCATCTCAGTCGATGTAATTTCACAGTCTCGTCGACTGATTTCCCCTCCTTACCTAGCACTCGACCAATGGCTAGCCTCAATATTGCTCACCTTATTATACCACTTCACACTAATCCCTCGGTGATTATCACAAGAAGACTTGTCTCCCTTCTTGTATATCGGGATGATCAGTGACTTACACCCACCCGATAGGACTTTCTCTGATTCCCCAGACGCTGCCTAGAACCTCAGTTAATGCAGGCAGTAAACTGTCTCCACCGTACTTAAATTCCTCTGGAGTCATTCCATCACGTCCCGCTGCTTTGCCTTGCTTCAGATTAGTGACAGCTTTAGTAACCTCAGTTAAGGACAGAGGACTTATGTCTATATCCTATTCAGGGAGGTGTTGGATGTTCGGCAGGTTAAGTGTGGCTGTAGGCCAATTAAACTGCTCCTCATAGTGTTCTTTCCAGCGTTCCAGGTTGACTGGCTGGCTAACTAGCTGTCTTTTATCATAAGTGTTTGAGTTTGATCTACCGTGATAAGTGATATAATGTGCTAAGTAATGCTGAGGTTAGGCGTCTAGTGTTAAGGAAGGAGGTTGCGAAGTCACATCGATTGAGATGACTAGAAAGAACATAGGTTGAGCATATCCAGGGCCGCTGCCTTACCACATAGAACAGTATTAGCTATGTGTAGCTGGACACCATAACACTATCACTATGGAAACTTTAAATCTTAAAGCCTTATGCTCATTGCATTCGGCATGCATATTAACAAAAAATGTTTACATTTCTTGTTTCAAAATTGCATGACAAATAAGCCAACAACAAATAAAAGGACACTGACAATAGTTGACCTTGACAAGTGAAATTTTAAAAAAAAATAAGCAGATAAATGTCCTCATGAACAGTCGTCATCGTCTGATGATGGCGATCATGATGATCATTAAGCATTCATTCAATGTCCAACTGTGCATAAACTGACCATATAATAATTATACATAGAACACGTGTATGCACAAATATTTATAAGCAAGTTTTTTTTAATGACCTACGTACGATAGAGTAATATAATATATGCACACACACACACACTGTTGAATAACTTTAAAAACAAGTTCTGTTGAAATTTGCACTTTTCACATTTTCACATACTACCAATGTGTGTGTATGTGTAAACAAATGGCTGATATTTATGCTTACTTATTTACTGTATACACCGGATGTAATGCTACATTAAGGTCATGGTTAAATTTAAACGAAAAACTCTTTGAATCGGTGGAAAAATACCCCCGCCGTCCGTTGCATCTTGCCTCCAAAGCCTCAGGATGGTCGGGGGTGGGTGGCTTGCACTGCGGGTTGGCCGCCCCTCCGCACACATCTTGAAATGCTCCCATATGACCGGGCGTCTTCCATAGACTCTCCTGAGGAAGTCCTACTCACTGCCTTCACGTGGCGGAGGTGTTTTTCATCAAAGTGAGAGGGCGAAAGCGGATGCCCGGCGCTCTTCACCGGGTTGACTGTCCATTGGATGACAGTCTAGGGGAGATGGCTAAACCCTGATTTCAAACCCCCAATAACTGGCGTATGAAGCTCACTGGAGCTCACCGGCAGACGTATAGACAAAGGGCTTGTTGGATGTCCTAGATGTCTGGCCCCATTCAAAAAGGTGTATGAACCGAACTCCGGTCACCGGCTGCCAATGGATAGTGGACTCCCTACTCCATTCCTACTGCCTTGTAGGTCACACTTGGTTGTGTAAAGGCTAGAGCTGCACTCTCAAACAAAAGGCCGAGCGATTCTGGGGACATCACTCGTACCAAATTCCCATGAAACTTCATGAACTCTATTACAAACGACTCTCCCGCGCCTGGGCAGCGATGATTCGAGATGTTCATGAAGCCGGCTCATCCTCCCGTAGGAGATAGCCGAAGTAAAGTAAGTAAGTTTCTCTCTTTCACACACACACGCACATACACATCCTTATCGTTCATGGGGACATATCATGTACACAAGTTCGACTGTTTTTTTAAACCTGTGTGAGAATTCAGAAACAACCTCCGAAATGTCAATTGAGAGCAAGAATTTCGGTCTAAATAACTACTAGCTTTATACCCATTGGAGAAGATGGGGCTCTTGTGTCCCAAGGGGACTGAATTGACCGATAATGTATTGGCGTTTGAAAAGAATGACTGACTGGTTTCAATGTAGAACTTTGAACAGATGTGCATCAGTTCGAAGAAATGCAAAAAGCAGAAACAGTAAACAGAAATATGAGGCAAAAAGAATAGTAATATGGAAGAACAATACATACATAGTTATCAAGAAACTAGTGACAGAATGCAAGACACCCGTTCCCCCCCACCCGTATTCGGGACACATCAACTTAAATGTACTTGCTCTTCAATGAGTGATAAAGCTGCCCATTGACAGCAGAACCCAGCATCGATCACTTCAAATACCAAGACATTATCAAGTTGACCACTGGTACTTTAGGGTCATTCGTTCGTACATTACGAATAAAGGCGTTCAAACGTCATGCTGTTTATAAATAAAATCAGTTTGTGTAGCCGAAAACGCAACAAGTCATTTTTATACGGAGAACTAGATTATTTTCACAAAAAAGCAGAGAGTGGTGACATCATAACATCTCTCGAACAACTTGCTCTCTAGTGCAATCAAAAGTCTACAGATACCCACCCTTCTCATATTAACTCCAAATGTATTTACAAATTTACATGTATCTGCAGGAACAGTTACATTGGAATAACAGAAAGAAGGGTATACCTACGATTTTCTGAACATGTACCGAAAAGTCTATGTATAAAGGGAATAGTGCCATCGCCAAGCATCTCCTTGACACGGGTCATGAGGTGGACGTTGCAAGATCGTTCAAAATTATCAGTAGGCAAAAGAGTTCAATTCTCCTCAAGTTTGCCGAAGCAATCTTCATCAAGCGGCTGAAACTCGATTTATGCGTTCAGAAAGAAACGGTTATCAGTCCTACCTTGTCCTGCTGACTGATTACGTAATGCCGAAAGTTTCCATTATGTATGATCGTTATTGTTCGGGATAAAGCGTTATTATATATACATATATATTATTCGTATACATACATTGATTAACGGTTTTTTGTTTAAAAATAAACTCTGTGCAAGTATGTTAAAATTGTTCCTGTAGATATACCTAATAATGACTTTGGGCTGTAAGCAGCTGATGAGAAGCCAACGAAATAAACAATGATTATTATTGTTCCCTTGGGTTCCTAGTGGAACATAAGGCTTCAACTGCACGTCTCCACCTGCTTCTGTATTCTGCTGTACTTTTCACCTGCATCCATGTTAATCCATACTGTTTCAGCTCCCCTTCACACGATCTCCTCCATGTCACCCTTGCACGACGTCCCACTCGCCGCTTCCTTTCGGGTTCCACTCGAGCTATGGCCTGACGCGCGATGTCACCCAGCGGC